CCAGAGCCCAGCAGGTCGAGGCTGTGGTGGCCAGGAGCGGCCACTGCACTCCAGCCCGGGCGACAGAGTGAGACTCCAACTCAAAAAACAAACAAAAACAAAAGAAATTACACTATTTTTAAATAAAAAGAATATCCAGACATTCTGAAAATGTCAAAATCTTTTAACCAATAAACAACCAGTATACAGAGTCACAAAAAATTAAATAAACTTTTTTATAGAATTTAATTCTAAAGTGATACATTTCTCAAAGAAAATGACCCCATAATGTTAAGATCATTTAATTATCCAAGTCCAAAACTATGAAAGGTTTATTACTTCTTGCCCAATAATAAAAAAGTAGCTGGGCTCGGTGGCTCAGCCTGGAATCCTGCGCTTTGGGAGGCTGAAGAGAGTGGATTGCCTGAGTCCGTGGGTTCGAGACCCACCTGGGCAACTTGGCGAGACCTCATCACTACAATAAATTAAAAAATTAGCCGGGCGTGGTAGCGCGCCTGTAGTTCCAGCTCCTTGGAAGGCTAAGGTGGAGGGATTGCCAGAGCCCAGCAGGTCGAGGCCACTGCACTCCAGTCTGGGTGACAGAGTGAGACTCCAACTCAAAAAAAAAAGAAAAGTAGAGAAAACCCAATAATACCACTAAAAATAGTCACTTTCTCCTAAAATAATGCTTCAGCCCAAAATATTATACAAAAGGCGCATTAAGCATAAATGTTAAAAAAATTAATGTAGATTCACTGGTTGGCAGCCTACTTCCTGAACTACTTGAAAGTATTCTGGATTTCTTAGGAGGCTATCTTCCAAAGGATCCTAGTGAACAAGGAGCCCTGGAGCAAGACTGCAGAGTTTTGAAGCCCAGCTACAGCATGTACAAGTCATGTGGGACGTCCCCTCTCTGAACCTTGGATCTTCACCCATGAAAAACAAGGATAATTCTAGCTACCTCATAAGGATGTGTGAGAGATCAAAGAAAGTTAATATACATAAACTACTTAATACAGACAGTAATAGTCAACAGCTGTTAGTTACTATCTTTATAACACTAGTTTTTGCACATACTACATGCTCAATTAATACTTGCTAAATGAATGAGTGCCCTACAAAAAAAAAAAAGTTTTCACAGCAATCAGAATATATATAATCTTAACTACAAAATACAAAAATAGAAACAAATTATTTATGCCATTTGGCCCAATTCAGAATATTCCTTTATAGCCATGTATTGAGATAACTGAAATACTATTTCATTCAAATATTTAAGTATTCTGCACTAGATATTGGCGAAACAACATAGATATAGTTCCTGTTCTACAGAAGCTTAAGCTAGTAAGAAACTTACAAGTAATTTGCATATTGAAAGGAAACTCAGAAACCTATCAGTTTCTTAAAATGAGGAAGCTGAAGTCTGGAAAAGTTAAGTGATTTGACAAAAGATTCATAGCTAGAAAGATAAGAATCAAGATTAGAACCTAAGTCTTAGGATCCCCAGCCTAGTGGTCTCTTCACTATACTATTGACTCAAAGTATTCAATATGAAACAAGAGGTTAAGTTCCTGGTCTGCCACTAACAAAAGGCCTTCTATAGTATTTATTTATTGCACTAATACAAATCAAATCAAATAAGCTTCAAGAGAGCTATAAGAAACACAAAAATAAAACTATTATGATTACTCAAAACATTAATGAAAGGTATTCTTCATGTCTGCAGGGCTGAAGAATTAATAGTTCTTATGTCATCAGTAAGTCTGCCTCTGGTTCCTTAGGTCAGTTGTCACATTTTCAGCCTCTAGGCTACATCTCCATCTTCACCGATTCCCAGATACAAATATAAAACACAGTATATGCTAGACTGCTAAACTTAAACACTTAATTGTCAGAAATTTGAAAGGAAAATAAATTACATTGCATGATATTTACCTTAAATGTACCATTTTGATTTTTCATGTAAGAAACCAAAAATATATCCACTGGTAAAAGTGCTGATGTGATAAGTGCAATTGCTAGAGAAAAAATTGCTGTTATGGTGGAGACAACTTCACTTTCCCGCTGACTTTGGTATTTACGAACATATATCCAGCAGAATGCCAAAATAGCCTGAAATAGAATAAAAAGAAATGTTTGTTACTACCCTATGAATTCTCTAACACTGATTTTAATATGTGCCTGGAAGTCTCCAATGGAAAACTATATCAAGTAAAGGTTATTTAGATGTAGAAGGTACTTAAAACTTATTCAAGATTTAAAATTTTCTATTTCATGAATGTAGTATATCACTTAGGTGCAAACACACGTCATTAATAACAGTGCCCAGTTACATATTTCCTCACGCAACACAGTGAAACCATTGATGTTTTCACACAATATTGTGGTTATAACTAGCTTTGAACACTTTTTTCCTGCAGATCTCTCCAACTTAAAGGAGCCATACCTAAAAGTTGTTCTACCCTAGACTATAACTTGGATGAAAATCAACTTCAGCCCTGATATGACAGCTTAAGAATATCATCCAGCTAAAGATTAACTGCTAGTAATCACAAGTTAATTATAGCATAATTAACATTATACGATAACTTGAATTTTAAAGCTCATTAAACAAAGAAACGTCAACACTGAAAATGGACACATGTATACAGTAAGGAGCGCTCCAGTAGGAAAAATGTACCCTCAGAGGCACTAAGGCATTGACATCTCTAAGCAACCAGGCTCTCTTGGTTACCAAGTCATTCTAGTGACTGACAGCGCACAGGGCTCTGTCTAGTGATCCTCTAACCTAAGAAGCATCAAAATCAATTGGAGGCTTTGCCAAAGCTAAATGCTAGGCTTCACCCCAGAGCTTCAGATTCAAGAAGTCTGGGGTGGGGTCAAACAATCTACATTTGCAACAGGTTCCCAGGTGAGGCTGTTGCTTCTATGCTTTTAGAAGGTACCTATCTTTACTCAATTACAGGGATTGCAGACAGATTTAAGTAAGTGGTTCTCAGCCTTGACCTTGAGTTAGAGTCACCTAAATAGCTTTTAAGTGCCCAGTTACATATGCCTTCCTTGCCTCCCCCAATCAATTCAATCACTAGGGAATGAGGCTCCTCCTCTGAGCTTCATAACTTTAAGTACCTGAGGATTCCAATCTTGCCAAACTTGAGAACCATCGTTCTACATTAGCTCTCTAGTTTTATCTTCCAGACTCTTCGTTTTTTGTTTGTTTGTTTGTTTTTGACTTAGAGTCTCACTTTTTCGCACAGGCTGGAGGGCAGTGGCACACTCATAGCCACCGAAGCCTTGACCCACTGGGTTCAGGTGATCCTTCTGTCTCAGCCTTCCAAGTAGCTGGAAATACAGGTGTATGCCACCACGCCCAGCTACACCTCACTAAGTTGCCCAGGCTGGTCTTGAACCCATGGGCTCAGGCAATCCTCTCACCTTGGCCTCCCAAAGTGCTGGGATTATAGGTGTGAGCCATAGATGCATCTGTTGCTCCTTTCTGAACATCCTAGTTCAGAAAGGGAATTAATAAAGTCACCTAACTAGTTTCACAACTTCTGATTCTCCTGCCATAATCAAGATATAAGAACAGTTCCATCACCTCAGAAAATGCCTTGATAGTTCACCCCTTCCACCCTCAGCCCCTGACAACCACTATCTGCTATCTGGCCATGCTGTTTCTGTCTTCTCTAGAATGTCATATTCACATAGTATATTGTTTTTTGAGTCTGGTTTATTGCATTTAGCTTAACACATGTGAAATCTATCCAAGTTGTTGCATGTAATTCCTTCACTGCTGGCATTTAAACTGGTGACAGGAGAGCCAGAAACGATTGAAAAGGAAATTAAAATTTGAGAATCAGGATGTTGGCGGGGAAACCTAGGTTCATATTCTTGCTTTATTGTTTACTAATTTTTTGTTTGTTTGGGGAAAGTTATTTTTCATAAAATGTTACCTATATTAACATTGTCATGGGTTTATTTTTAAATGAACCCATAAGAACTTTAAACATTACTCAAGTTTACTTTGAAATCATTGGAGGTTGAGCTTTATCCTTCCTTAGCAGTGCTCAACACAAAGTGTTCCAATAAATTTTTACTTGGATTTCAAGAATGAAAGATCTGCACTTTTACAATGTTCAACGTAATAGGTACTACCACAAAAGCAGGAGTATGCCTGTATCAGGTAGACAAGCTGAAGAAGGACAAGGAAGCAGAATGATTAAGCCAGAGGTTCCCACACTTTTTTGTCTCAGAATCACTTGACAGTTTTAAAACTGAAAGCCTCTTAGCCAGGCATAGTGACACATGTCTGTAGTTCTAGATAATCAGGTGGCTTAGATGGGAGGATCTGATGAGCCCAGGAGTCAAGACCAGCCTGGGCAATATAGCAAGACCCCATCTCTAAAAAATAAAATAAAGCCCTGAAAACCTCAGAACTTTTTGTTTGTGTTATCAATAGTTGCTATATTGTAAAATAAATCAAGTGTCCTCATCTATAAAATTAGAATAAGAACACATCTTCTCAGCGGGTTATAAAAAGTAAATGAGATGTAGAGAGCTTAGCAGTGCCTGGTCATAGTAACTGCTTAATAAACAGTAGTAATTGTAATTAAATGTCACATTAAATAACACCGTAAAGCATTTTATAAAAGAAACTGAGGCAGGGTAGTGAGCAAAGGTTAGACATAGATAATTTCCCATAGACAGGTTTTAGGAAGCATTCAGACATTTTAAAAATTACATTTTACTGCAGACCAAGCTGGCAGTCTACCCCAACCTTTCTGCAAATCAAAAGAAAACCTCACCAGATGACAGCCCAACCTTTCAATTCATAATAATCACTAAGAAATTTTCAGGTTCCCTGTCAGAGGCGGAAGGCCAAAGACCACTCTTAACTGACCAAGGCTATGGAAATGATAATAAAACTACCTTTTAGCTAAGGAACTTGTGAATTGGAAACATCTGCCAAGTGTCCTGCAAAAGACGATGTGGTCAGGAAAAGACCTCTCCCCTTGTCTCCCCCCATCAGGAGCCAGAGATGTCACTCTCTCTGAAGCCGCGGTAACTAGACCCCACCCATTACCATATCAATAACTAGGTAGCAATATCTAGTTTGGAGTTGACAGCAAAAGCCCTGTTTCCTTGAAAAACTTGCCCATGGTAAGTCTTTCTGCCATGAATCTTCCTTCTCTTTTTCCTGCTAATAAACTTTGAAAACTTTGCTGGCCGCTCTAAAATTCAAATGAGAAACAAGCCAAGAATCCATGGGTTTTGTACCACACATCACCTGGTATCAAAAATAGTATATAATTGTGTTAACAATTAGAAGGAAAAGTTTAGAATAGTCGCCCAAGCTCTCCTAAGGGATTCTGTCTTAACTGGTCTGGATGCTGGGATTTTTAAAATTCCCCTCAAGCAGCCAAGGTTGAGAACCCCTGGGCAGAGAAAGGAAAAATCATTGTTTATCAAACTAATGAGACTACCTAGGATCCTGTTCAACTGCAGATTCTGATTCAGTAGGGTTGGGTGGTATATTCTGTATTTCTAACAAGTTCCCAGGTGATGCCCATGCTTTTTTCTTTTTCTCTCTTTACATAACTCAGTGAATCAATATTTTCTAAATGACCAACACAATCTTGGTATAAAACCACACATGGGTAAAGGATTCACTCAAAGGACAAGACAGACTCGTGGATTTTAAGGTAACAGAGAATGAAAAGCTCACTGACAGAGATTCAGATCCCAAACTGAAGAAGCTCCACTTGTTAAGCTTTGGTGTAGTACCAAAGAACATCACAATCACCTGAAAACTACTCCTCTGCCTCAATCATTGAAACGGTTTTCCTCATAGACTTTTCTCATCAACTAAAATAACATATCCCAAAAGGCTGAATCATAGAAGTAGACATGCGAATCCAGCTCTTTAATAAAGCAGGAATTAAAGAGATTTGCAGAAATTTAAACAATGGACCTCATTCCTGATGGGTTTTCTGCTACAAGTTTCAAACTCCTAATTCCCTTTGCAGTTTCTTTCTGCTGTAGTATCAACTTAAATGGCTTCCCTTCATCTACCCAAAGTCTACAACAATTTCCACTTTCGTTCAGTATTGCTCTTCATTCTCTGAAGTTTTACTGCATTTATAAAATTATACGTTGACATTCAGTATTCAAGATACATGTTCCAAGAATTTTTGTTTTCCTCCCTATCTTCAGGCCCTCTTAAGGGCCACGTTTTGTTTCATTTGTATTCTCCTACAATTCACAGAACAACTCCCGAACCTTAAATGCTTATGATTAATAATTGCCGAGATAGTCCCACTAGACTTTCATACTGGTTACACGGTTGTTTATTTTCTTGTAAACGAATAATCGGATAGACTGACAAAGTCAGGGAATTCTTCACGTGCAGGGCTGGCTGGCTCTGGAGATCACTTTCACCTTCAGAGTTTCATTTCCTCCGAGAGAAGACAAAAACATGTCCCAGGGTTTTCATCTGTGAGAGTGATGGTAGTATGAGAAGCAGCAAGAGACACCTCTTAAGTTTTCACACAATCGTATTTTTAAAAGTGTAGTTTCTGCTCCAAAAATTTACCAGAACACACTACACAGACACCCTAGTGGAACCTGATAACTAGAGAAAAATCAAGCAAGCCGGATTTCCAGAACTGAAGGTTTTGTTTTGCTTTGTTTTGTAATACACAAGGGTCAAAATACACTGGAACAGGAAGTAACAACAGGATGAAGAGCCTGTGCAAAGTCAGGGTCCTTAGACGGAAGCAAAGTGAACTCCCAAGTAAAATAAAGCAAAGGGTTATTTTAACATCGGGTCGGGAAGTTACAGCCAGGTCGCTTTGCCCATCAATTAGCAGAAAAAGTAGGCGCCTAAGGTCGGACGGGGTTTCCACAACTAGGAGGCCAGCGAGACACAAGTCCTCAACGCCACTCGCACCTGGGCACGAGGGGAGGGGGGGACAGAAGGGAAGGGAACCCGCGGGAAAGCCCCCGCCGCGGGCCGTCGCCCTCCGGAGAACGCCCGAGGCTCCGCCGCCCCCGCCCACCGGCCCC